AGAAGACCAGAATCAATTCAAGACCTACTATAAGAATCACATGTACAGAGAACTATATAAGACCTATTTCAGAATTACTTCAAGAACATTTCAGGAACTACAAGCACAAGAATTACCAAGAACTCGCAGAACTCTTTGAACTTAAAACTTAGTGATAGTGTGGAGCATCATTTATATACAGACTTTATCTTTGATCGTTTAATGAATTGAATTTGTCAATTCAGCGAACTTTGTAATAATTATTTATTACTATATTCCATAGTTCCATGAACAAGTTGGAGCTAATATTAGTTTTATGTATTTACTTGATGAATTGTTTTTTAATTTAATACAAGTTGTAATGTATGGTTATTTTTTTTACTCTAAATATGTATCATTAATTGTTCATTTGTTAGAAAAGTTTATACGTGTTTCTTTTCATCACAATTTTATATTATTCATTTTAAATGACGAATTCAATTATACGAATAACAATTAATTAGTTTATTCATTATTTGTGAATAAGATGTAATTCGATATAATGTTTCATTGATAAAAAAATATTTAATATATTCAATATATTCATACTTTCTTCGACATATATTATTTGGACATGTGATTGCATTATTTACCAATTATAGTTCATCTTGCGCTTCGTGATTGGCCAGTGTTTTTTTATTCATTCATTAACGAAGCTATAATGAATGTTTTTGCTAAGAAAAATATTGTTTGAAGTTATTTCAGAAATTTCTAATTAACAAATATTTCCATATTTTTGGGATATCTTATATAGTATATTTAAAATAAAAAATAGATAAAAATAAGAATATTTATAATTGTATATAATTAGCAGCAGTAATAGATAGTGAGGAATAATTGATATTCATTAACTTAACTATCATAAATTTAAGAAAAAAATAAACAATTCAATTGACTTTCTAAATTTTAGATATAAAATTGAAGTTATTTTTATTAATGGAAAATTTTTTTTCTCATTTTACTAAAATTTTTAATAACATAAAGAAAAATAGATATATCATAATGGAAAATATATCATTTGTACAATATATGTTTAACTAAAAATAAATAGTCATTGAAGAGGCAAATATCACTCAAATTTCATAATATTCGCATTGCTTTTCAAAATAATTTTATAAAATATTCAGTACTGCAGATTATTTTTGCAATTTACATAACTATTGCATACTATATGATTATAATAATCAAAGAAAACCATATAAAACTTATATTTTATTTTTAATAGAAACGCATATTATGAAATTCATATTATAATGTATTATAAATTACAATAATTTTTGTAATAAAAATCATTCATGATTATAAAAGAATATCTATAATAGAAATTATAATATAAATAATTAATTCAATTAATTCAATAGAAGATTGTCAATTGATTTTTCTGAAGAATCTCAAGAAGATTAAAAAGAAACAAAAAAATTATGAGTAAGTTCAATTCTAAAAAATTACTCATGTTATTTATATATATAAAATTTAGAAAACAATTAAATATCTTCAATATTATAAAACAAATAATTTCCTTGCTAACATAAAGATACAAGACAAAAACAGGCTGTCAATATGTGATGAAACTTTATCTGTAACAGTAAATTGACAAAATATTATATTATTAGAGATGCTCTAAAATGCAGAAACAATTTATATTCACGTCATGCATATATTAGTGAAGCCAGAAACTAAAAGTTTTAAAAATATTATTATTAATATTACATTAACATACGCAAAAGTACTATTAAAAAGTTTGATGATATGATTGTGAGGATACTTCAACTTCAAGATATAAATAAATGCCTTAGATACAAATAATGTAAACAATTTCTATTTCATAGTGCAATAAAATATCTGGAATAAATAAATATAATAATATAAATTCTTTTTGTATATGAAAAAATCAAAATCATTTACAGAAATACGAAATCGTTCAATATTCTTTTTTTTTTTCTGAAAAATTAACATTAATATTCTATATTTAAAATTTCAAAAGTATTATTTTACTTTTTATTTTATGAATATAATAGCAACAAAAAACTCAAAAATATAATAAATTATTGTAATTCTATAAAAAGTAGAATGGATGATTTAGATAAGCTATTTTGAGAATACTCTTATAAATGTAACCAGTCATTGATCTTTATTATTGTTCATAGACTACATATACATTATTGCATGCAATGCATTTGTTATATGACAAATAGAAATTCGATACAAAAGAAAGAGGAATTCTTAATGTTTTCATTTTCAATTCATAATGTTCTTATTTTTCCGTACGCATATAACAAAAATCCGATGTGTATAATCTAAAATTGACATATTAGCACCATAGATATCTTGATATATATCTCAAACGATCATCAATGTGTTAGTATAACATCGATGAAGAATTTGAGCGATTGTAAATATATATGAGTCAAAAGTGACTTCAGCAAAATTCTAGCTATAATATTTGGAAAATTAATTTGTTGATATTTGTTAAATTTTATATAAAGATTATTGAACAAATAGAAAATATAATGTATTAATTACCATTATATAATATATATTGTTTAGAAAAATATGCAAAGAAATTTGTATAGAAAACTGTATGCATACCAACAATATATAAAATATTTATTTATTTTTAACGATCAGGAAAAGAAAACCGCAATAACAATTTTATTAGAGCAGTATTTACATCTAAAAAGTTTATTCTTTTCGTTTCTAATTATTGAATTTAAATCGTTATTTCTGTTTTGAAAGAAAATTTATTATAAATTTATAGTTTTTTGATTTTAGTTTTTGTTTTAGAAATTTTTTACTTTTCTTTATTTTTTTCTTATTTATTATTTATTTAAGTATTTTCAGTGTTAAGAAATATATTAGATAATAATAATATCTTTCTCATAGTTTTTGTCATATTTTTTGCCATTATCTAAATTACTACTATTTTTTGCCATTATCTAAATTAAATTTTGCAAAAATATCATAGAGTTTTGTAAAAGGCTAACTAGCAGTGTCCAAAATATTGCGCATCGTATGATCAAAAAATGCGAGGGATCAACTTTCTCATGACATTCAATAAGCTAACATTCGTAGCAGATTACGATAGTTTATCTATTAATTACATTAATTAGGATTCGAAAGGGTGGCAGTTTCCAAATTGCTAATGATTTAACAGTCTGTTATGTTAAAATCTATCTATGTTATAATGTATATCTATGTTAAAATTCGTCCAATCTAAAGCGCTAGAAAAAATCATAAGAGTCATAAAAAAGAATCTCTTCAATTTAGATTTAAACCTATCTCCCATTAAAATTGTTTTTCTGCATTTTAATAAAAATACACCTAGAAGTATTAACATAACTTTATCTTTTACTACATAAATTGATCAGGTAATTAAAAAATGTTCCAATGCACTTAACATTATCAAATTTTTGTGAGGCATATGGTGGGATGCTGATATCACCATTTTATATAAAAACTTTATATGCTCTTTATAGATTATGCCTGTTTCATTTTCTCACCTAAACATAAAAAAAACTTGAAAGACTTCAATTTGGCATGTTAGATTAGCTTTGGAATATTGCAGAAGTACACCTATCAACATCTTACTAACTGAATCTAAGCTCCCATTCTAAAAGAATGTTTCAGATTTTTATGTTTTACGATTCCTTTCGAAGGTTTTTTCAACAGTAGCTCTCTCATCTTTAAATCATTAGTTTTTCAAAAGTTTTTAAAACATTAAAAATCAAAAAATATCAAAAAATAAATCTAATAGTTCAAACAATTTGCTTAAATACATCTCTTTTCTAATGTCCTAGTCGACATATAATAAAATAGAATCACACTAGAGTTATATTTACTTTCATGATTATTTTTATGATTATAAAATACCAGCAACATCCATCCCATTTCATTTTATGTTTGGCTTTAAAGTACTAGACAGTTCTGAAGATATCAATTGTAAAGTCATGAGTTTAGTTAGGAGAATGATGCCATTTTTCCATATTCACTGATGATAGTAAAAGTTAATAACTGTATTGATTCTGTTTTCTTTTGTCAGGAACTTAATACGGTCTCACAAAAAATTACAATCAAATTAGCCTAGGTTTTTATAACTGAATATATTGCTATAGAGGATGCAGTTGACTTTGCTTTAAATAATAATAATCGTAATTTTCTTATTTTCTCCAATGCACTTAGTGTACTTTTAAGTTTGGCATCAATGAAAATAATATTAGAACCAATCCTTACATCCTCAACGTCAACAAATTTAATCGAGAAAATTTAAATAATTTTATTAAGTTTTATTGAATTTCATCTTAAAAGGAGATTTTTGGCAATGAGAGTTAATGGCTTAGCTAATGAAACTTCTCATGATACTGTATATATATTCAGCATCCCTATATAGACTTTATTGAGACAATTCAAAAAGTAAATGTTTGTTAACTCCATGAAAATAATTAGAAATGAAGATCAATACAAAAGCAAGGATTTTTTTCAGTATTTCTATAGTGATAATCGTTATTCCTGGTATTATCGTTCAAAGCTATCTCGTTCATCTATTGTGTCAATAAATAAATGTAGACCAAATCATTATCATTTAGTAACTTCGCTAACTCAACATTGGGATTATTAATAATCCTTATTAATAATCTTTGTATGATGAAATCTTAAATCATGTTTTATGACAGTATTATACAATACAATAATACAATAATCAGATATAAACTGATTAAAAATCTTCACAAGGAAGATCTTCAGTTACTTTTAGATGTATTTGTGTTAACAATGAAACTTAATATTAAGGCATGTCTCTACATGATTTTCTTTCTAAAAAGATTGTAACTTAAATATATAATATTTTTTAGTTTTTTTCCCTCTCGTTTCTATTGTTTAATTACTGTATTGCTTTAATAAATCTCTATCGAGATTTTGCAAATAAAAAAAAAATTAGCTCCTAAAAAAATAATGTTCCTCATTTAGAAAATATGAGAGAGCACGGATTACTTACCTTAATAGAAGAAAATAAAATCTCAGAAAAAACATTTAAAATTGATGAAATATTAAAAATTACATAAACATGTTGTCTGCAAAATTATCTCTGTATATATATGAATTCCATTGAATTGACATCGGTGGAACTAAAACAAAAAATATAAAAACAAAATTTTTTCATTTTAATAATTATATATATATA